AATTAACTTTTCGGACCTTGTATAAATTGTTGTCAAAACTTTTCATATATTTCGGCAAATGTGATAAATTATATAAATTCCGCACAGCCTTAATCCCACCTGAGGCATAGTCAGAGATTGGACAGCTAATTCCTTAATTGACATTGACACTTATTCTTTCATCTTTAATTCTAATATACATACTGCTAAAATGTCACCATTCGCTCAATAATTGTTTGATACTTGATTTCTATATACCTTTTGTTAATCCTTTTATTTTACTCGCTCTTTGTTCAGTATGTTTGATTTGTTGTTGAAAATGATAGTCAGTTGGAATCAGACCTTCGGTGCTGATAGTTCCCAAACTCATAAGAAGTTTATTCCATGCTGATTCTATATAAAAGTACAATATTTGTAACTAGTGTTTTTGTCTTGAGGTTTTAAGAGAAGCTGGGTTCAACAATAAGAGGAAAGCTCACGGTTGAACCAGAATTAGTATTGACGAACTAAACGTTCCCGTAAAAAATGGCATATTCTGATGAAATTTTAGGTTTCCAAATTGTGAACAAAAAAATCTAAAAATATGCTGACTATTAATTAGAACTTGTCTAAAGTTAGGCCTATAGCATTTGTGATCTTTGTTTTATCTAGATAGGGAGCTCTGTTACAACGCACTTTGAAAAATTACGCACTTTGGAAAAAAATTTCAAAGTGCGTTAAATTTGGGACCAAATCAACGCACTTTGAAAAAATATAATTTCTTTTCAAAGTGCGTTAATATCGACCATATTAACGCACTTTGAAAAAATATGCATGGCTTGGTCAATATTCTTGCAAATCTTGGGTTTGATAAATAATTGAACCTGATTGATTAACTCTTTGGTGATGAGGTCACTTCAGGATGTGAAAGTGAGCGATTTTGATTTTTCCATACTTTGAAAATTCTATCTCTCTTAAATGTTTTACGTAAGTTTTGCAGTTTGCATGCATTTTATATGTAAACTTTTTTTTGAAACTTTTCAACGTCATACCAGTTATGCAAATACATATAATTGGGAGTAGCATAAGCATCGGTACCGGGAGGGGGGGGGGGTTCTTAGGTACTCAAATGTTTTGCAAAGGTATACATGTATAGGCATTGAAAATCGGGGCTTGCCTTTAAGGGGGGTATCCACTTTCAATTTGTTACCGACGACTTTGTACAATGTATAAGAAAAAGAGTTGGGCTGAGAGACCTTCTTCTCGCCTTCTCCTTGTTCCCAATAAGGTTAAATGAATACATGTAAATTAAAATGTTTTTCAAAGTGATATAATTAATAAAATTAGCTATCAATTACTAAAATTTAAATGCTTTATTTTTTGTATTATACATCTGTACATATTTTTTTTAAAAGTGATAAAATTATATGTTATCCCAAGGTAAAAAATGTTCTACGTACACTCTTGAATGCATTACTAACGCACTTTGAAATATTTTTTTGTGGCAAAGTGCCTATAGAAGACACCAGTGTGTCTTGAGCAAAACAAATTTAACGCACTTAAAATAGACTAATAAAATTATAAGATACTGTATCATATTTCAAGTATTAAAACTATAAAGCTAAAATTGCACTTGTTTTTCATTTATTTAACACTAATTTGAATTATTGCGCCATGTGAACTATTTGATGATGTCATACAATGGTGCCTACGTGCACTTACTGTATAAAGGTTAGTTGTCGTGTTATAATACTGTAGGCCTATGGATTAGCTGATAGCATCATGCATAAATTATTTTATTAAAACAATGATAAAATTACCAACTTATCCTACGAATTATACATTTTCTATGTAAAATAACATGAATGCATTACTTAGTTACTTGATAATTTGGAGCAATGCACTTTTTTTGTGGCGGAACGATTAGGCCTATAGAAGACACCAGTGACTAGGCAATATTCTTGAGCAAAACAAATTGTGCCAAATGACAATAGCCATAAAATAGGATTCAAATATACAGTTACTGTATCATATTTCAAGTATTAAAACTATAAAACTAAAATTGCACTTGTTTTTCATTTATTTAACACAAATTTGAATTATTGCGCCATGTGAACTATTTGATGATGTCATATAATGGTGCCTACGTGCACTTACTGTAAGGTTAGTTGTCGTGTTATGATACTGTATGGATTAGCTGATAGCATCAAAAACACTGAAATCAGCCACTTCGAACGTCAAGTACATTCTTAGCTGTGACGTCATACGACGTAACAATAGAATCTTGAAGCATAAACTATAAACCAATTTTTGTCGAAAACCATTGCAGAGTTATTTCTTGTTTCTTTGAAAGATTTCTACAAACTGAAAGTCTGATATATGCTTTACGTTATTATTTATTTATTTATTCGGCATATTCGCGCAAAGGACATTGGGTAATCTGAATATTGTACAGAGAAATTTGGCTGACGTATGTAAATTTCAATCCGAATTTCCTCTGTTCTTACACGTCTATCTGATAATGAATATTACACATGGAAGTAGGTCTATAAATTCTGCAATAAAACAAAAGATATTACTATGTCATTTACTAGTATTTTCTAAACAAATGCTATTAAATTGGAATCATTTTTATTTTGCGTGAAAATGAATAATTCATTTGTTGAAACGCATGAACTATTGTTCTTTTGTGCACCTACCAGTAGGCATGTAGTAATTTAAGGAGGGTGTAGTAGAACTCTACTTTAAATCACGATAATTTGGTAATATCACTAATACCCCCCCCCCCCCTCCCCCCCAAAAAAATCATTGATGTTGCGGTCATTGCATGCTTGTAAACATGCACTTGGCATTTTTAGCATTTCTATTCACAAATAAAAAAAATCCATACTGTTGTTATTATTGTAGAATGGCTATTACATGAGCTGCAGAACTGTAACTCTACGAACAAGTGCAACTTTTTTGTGAGCAATAAAATATATATACAATTTTTTCAATGGGTGGCACTGTAGCTCTCCAGCTGTTAATATATTTTCGGAGAGCTACAGTTCTGCAGTTAATATGCTTAAATGTACCCACTTCTGCGAAAAATGGGATTTTTTTTAAATTTTATTGAAATGTATTGGGAACTGTCTACTGAGTATTTGTGTTATAAAGACAAGCGTCTGGATGACCGAGACTAAGTCTGAACCGGATGCTTATGACGTTGTTACTATGACGTCACAATTACTTTTGTTTATCGACTCGTGCAGCAATAATGGTGAGTTTTGATTATTGTTTTACGTCCCTCTCCAGAACTAAATTAATTCAGAGTCTTACATGCATACTAGTATTCCAACAAACAAAGTTATGCACTCTATGCTTTTTTGATCTTAAATAACCTTATTTAGGTTATTTTTTTTCCAGTAAAACCACAACTGAGGTTAATATTTTTATCGGGAGGGGGGGTGTGTGGGTAAATTAGATTGTCCTACAATGCTAGGACTAGGAGACACATGCTACAGGTCGAGTGATCAGCCTCGGTTGGGGTATCCGAGTTTCTCTGTGCTTGCTATATTCATATTTTTCATTTATAAATGGGTAACTAATGTGTGAATTTTATGAAAAGATGAATCGATTACACGTCGTGTCTGAATAGGTATAAAGCATTATGCGAGTTTTGTATGTGGCGACGGTGTTAGAATGACACCATTAAAGTTCTGTTGTTCATTTTTGCGATAGATGAACTAAGCTTATTTTTATGATTTAAATGAAGAAAATTTACAGTATTGAGGTCCTGTACATTACAAAATAATTCCTTATTTAATTTTATAATATAATCCCACTGTCTTAAAAAAAATTGATGCTTCTTTTATGTCTAATTGATCAAAAAGAACTAAAATTCATACAGATTTATCAAAATAGCACATTTGTACGGTAAAAGAAAATTTCAAAAATAGAACTCGTATTGGTTTAAGGATTATTCTTAGTACTCGACCTTTTATTGAACCTTCTTTTACTATAGGCTGAAAAAGACAAAAGTCCCGAGAGAAGAGGAAAAGAAAATGACGAGGAGCTGCCTGATGCTCCGAATCCCAGGCAGCTCCTTTCAATCATAAAGGAGCAACGAAAGGTACGTAGATTTCAGTTTTTTCCAGTTAGATTTATTTTTTTCCAATTTGTTTTTTAATTTTTAAATTTTTGTCCCCTATCGGTGTAACCGACAGTTTTGGTCTGATTTTAATATAAATTGGTACACAAGTAGACTACACTAAGATACATAGAATAGTGCATCGGTTTTTGATTTGAAATGCCATGGTTACCAAAAATAGAATTTTCTGTGAAATTCCTTTAAACGCTACTCCTTCTACAGTTTTGGTCTGATTTCAATATTACTTGGCACACAAGTAGACTACACTAAGGTACATAGAATAGTGCATTGGTTTTTCATTTCGATGAATCAGAATGGTGTTGCCTTGGTTACTAAAAATAGAATTTTCTGGGAAATTCCTTTAAAATGCTACTCCTCCTACAGTTTTGATCTGATTTCAACATAACTTGGCACACAAGTAGACTACACTAAGATACATAAATAGTGCATCGGTTTTTGATTTTGATAAACGGTGTTGCCATGGTTACTAAAAATAGAATTTTCTGTGAAATTCCTTTAAAACGCTACGCCTTCTACAGTTATGGTCTGATTTCAATATTACTTGGCACACAAGTAGACTACAGTAAGATACATAAAATAGTGCATCCGTTTTTGATTTCGATGAACAGTGTTGCCATTGTTACTAAAAATAGAAATGTCTGTGAAATTTCTTTAAAACGCTACTCCTAGAGTTTTGGTCTGATGGCAGTGGCTTCTTTTCTCATCCTTTGTTATAAGTACAAACCAGTAGAGCTACAGTCTCGACAGAGACTTCTGTTGTTGTTTTTTTTGGAGAGGAAGGGGGGGGGGGTTACAGTACACGTCCACATATATACACACCCTTTCTCTGTATAAAAATTTAACGTTAGAATTAAGAGCATTGGGTTTATTCCTATATTAAAAATGGTATAAATCTGCAAGTCTATGACAGACTGGAGCTACAATGAGAGATGCCCCCTCAACTCTTGGAAAAGTAACTAACCGAGATGACAAAGGCCTCAAGAAAAATAAACTTGTATATATGAATTCGATATAACGATTTGTCGTTTTAGTATAATTGGTTTAAACAAATTAAAAAGTTGTTTAAACGAATTCAATTCGTTATAAAAGTTTCAGAATTTGATGAGACCAGTTTAATTCGTATTAATTAACAAAAATTTTTATTCGTTATAATGAATTCAACATTTTTTTAATAACAATGTCAAATGAAATTCATCATAACGAATTCAGAGAAACTTTTATAACGAATTAAATTCTTTATTACAAATTCGACAATTCGTTCTACGGTTCTATCGAATTCAGCAATATTTTGGGATAGGTCCTAAATGGACTTCCATAAATAAGACATCAGCATATTTAAAAATCTTTTTTTTTTATTATTATTTTAGGCTCCAAGAAGACGAAGTGAATGTGTAGCAATTTACCCAAGGGATAGAACGGCAACAACAAAGAAAGTGAAATTCATAATCCCACTCGAAAGTGCTGAAGGGCAAAGTTGTATTCAGGTCACACCGGTAAAGTATTCATTGTTTAAGTCTTCTGCCTAGTACATGTATCTCGGAGACAAAATTATTAAAACACTATCAAACAAAGAGTTCTCAACATGAATATAAAATGGGTATATATTAGAGAAAAAAAGCTTCATAACAGTCTTGTATAATTATATATTTAATGTGTTTGCTTTAATAATGATCCCAGAAATTATTAAGAATTTTTCGTGAAATGTTTATTCAAATGGTTTTAAAATATATATGTTATAGTTTGAAACCATTTTTTTTTTTATCAAATAACAACACTTGCTAACTTCTTATTTTATAAGAAGTTTTCATGAATATTTTACTTTATACACAACCATTCCCCTACGATAAATTAAAATCCAGGCTTTTTGATATCATTGACAGCTGTTTCTTCAATAAAAATGGAACTCGTAAATTTACTTACCTGGTCATTGGTCATTTGCAAATTTATTTTGTTAAAAAAGATTCTGATTGCATACACAAGTACTCTGAAGTTGACATCAAGAAGATGCTTGAGTTTCTGATTGACAATATCTATGTGGTTTTTGGAGACCAGGTCTTCAAACAATCTATTGGAATTCCCATGGGAACCAATTGCGCTCTGTTATTAGCAGACCTATTTTTGTATTCATATGAAGCAGAATTTTTGCAAAATCTTATGCGTGAAAAGAAGAAAACACTTGCTGTGGCCATCAACTCGACCTTCAGATATATCGACTACGTATTGTCGATTAAAAATGGTAATTTCCATTCCTACGTCTATACGAATATCCAGGAGAGCTTGAGATAAAAGATACCACAGACTCTGACACATCTATTTCATACTTGGATATTTTACTTGAAAAGACGTTAATGGTAACCTAACAACCAAGTTATATGATAAACGTGATGACTTAAACTTTTTTATCGTCAACTTCCTTTACTAATGCAGCAATATACCTTCATCATCTGCATACGGAGTGTATATATCTCAATTGATTCGATACGCAAGAGCATGCTCTACGTGCGAACAATTTCTAAAACGAGGTAAATTATGGACAACAAGTTGATGAAACAAGAATATCAGCAGTCTCGTTTAAAGTCATCATTTCGTGTTCTATGGTCGATACAATGACCTTGTCAGCAAATACAATTTATCATTGAGTCAAATGCTGACTGACGTTTTTCATACCAATTGTTAGTCCATTATTTATACACTGAATTGACGACGGATTTTACCGTTATTTCACGATCATGACAATGAGCACACGGCGGTGTGACCGGTCAACAGGGGATGCTCACTCCTCCATGGCACCTGATCCCACCTCTGATGTTTCGGAGGTCCGTGTTTGCTCTGCTCCTACAGTGTATTTTGTATTGTTTTTGGACTTTGATATTTAATACTGTTCGTTATCTCTATATCCTTGTATGCGTCTGCTCAATCGCTAAAGTTCAAAATGTGTACTGCCTAATGCCCTATTGTCCATGTTCCCGATATAAAGATTTAAAAAAATTGATACTTCTGTTACACTGTATATATCTACTATTGTTTCATCCGGGACAAAATAATAAAAATAAAATGAAAATTGACAAATGTTGACACTAAACTCCAGTTTTTTTCCACTCTGTGTTGTGTTTCCTGAGTAAATCTCCAAGTGTTCTATAAGTGAATGTTAATAAACTAGGGCTATAAAACAAACTTGAGCTCTTTCTCCTTCCCTGAATTCCTCTTCTTTTTTGATATTTTGCACTATACAGAACAAAGTAGATAGTGAAACAGAAAAATATCCAGATTTAACAACCCTTACTTACTAATCCCTACATAGCTTAAATAGGCTTTCTATAATTTTGAACATCGGCAAACAACATGAAGTATATAAAACAAGCAAATGAGAAGAGCATGTGCAGTTCGGGGGGTATCGAATCCCCCATCCCTGAGTCTGTAGAAATATTAAATTTATACACGTTAATTTAAGCAACAAATAAAAAATACCAATATTAATATAAAGATTTGATTGGTTATTCTTTATTTTGTGTATAGAAGATTCTTGACCTTTGACCTTTAGATCTCCAAATCGGTAGGGCTGTCCTTTAGACCATAGGGAGTTGTAATGCAAAATATCATTCAAAAGCTCAAAGGCTTCTTGAGATATCGCGCGGAAACGAAAGCGTTATAGACCTACAGAAATACGGACGAATAGACAGACAGACCCAAATTAATATCCCCCCACTTTCAGTGAAAGCGTTGGACAATAAATGGGTGGTGATGCGATGAATCATTTGAAATAACGATGCAAGGTCATTCAACAAAATAGAAACATTAAAAAATTATACTGTGTGTTCTAAATTCAATTTTAGATAAATATATTCCGAAAATTTTTTTCAATAATTTCTAGGAACACTTATCTTCGCTACTCACTAGCCAAGGCTTTTCGGTCCACTCCACTCCCCATTTTCTCTAGCCAAGGATTTCGGTCCACTACGCTACTCATCTTCGCTAGCCAAAGGTTTTCGGTCCACTCCACTCCCTATGCGAAGTGGACCAAAAACCTTTGGCTAGTGAAGATTCAAGGAAAACTACTAGTATTTCAACTTTAATAAATTTCCTGCTTTTTTGCTAAGACTGAGAAGGGGGTCTCTGTTAAAAGTGTCGCAAGAGACGAGGTGCAGAATGAAGAAGTGATTCTAACAAACGGAGAAGAACTTCTGAGCAGGCTGAAGCAGACGCTGGAAAAGGAAACGGTACTTTTCAAATAAAAAAAATATGTTTATTCTGTAATCTATTGCAGCCTGTTTTTGCCCGTCGTCTTGCGTTAACATTTTCAGCTCCTATGTCAGTACCAGTGGCGTAGTATCGTTTTTGAAAGTGGGGGGGGGGCAACCAGAGAAAAAATTTTTTTACTTACCTGAAAAAGTTGACAAGCAAAAAAAACAAAAAACAAAAAAGTTGCCAAAGTCGAAAATCCTATTTCGTGGGTGGGTCACCTGAGTAAACTCAGGGGGGGGGGGGGGGGGTAATATTGCTATCACTTTTCGTTTTTCGTTCGTCGTGCGTTAACATTTGAACTCAGTGTCAACTACTTTTAGTACCTATTCTTATATTACATTTTCGGTACATCACTAAAAGTCTACAAGTGGGGAGGCCAACCAGGCTTTCAATTAACATTTCTTAGAGTATAAGTAATAGGTTGGAAAATCTTCTTCTCTGATATTAAAAAACTGGGGTTATGATGAGCAAGATTGCCCCCCAAAATTGTGCCCCCCCGGTTGCTACGCCCCTGAGTACGAACTCATTATCACAATTGTTTCTATGGGAAGTACCCTTTATACGATATATTCATTCTAGTAAATTTGTCATCGGAAGTTTGGTACTTGAATAACCTGAATTTTTTGCTCTTGTAGCCGTTCACATCTAGAAGGGCAGATGAATTAAGAGCCCCTTTTAGATTTTTTCCGAAACTCGGAACAGTTAAAGTATGTATATTTTTAGTTTAATATATATTTTATTCATAGAAATGGATTGAACAGCAGGCATAAATGCCTATGATCGTTTTCTCCATGTATGTATGTATATTGTAACGTTAATAAAATTAAAATTACATTTCAAAAAATAAATATATAAATACAAGTCTGGGACATGTTTTACAATTTTTTTTAAAATAAATCTTTGTTATGTTTACAATTTTAAATCAAATTATTAATTTTGCAAAATTTTACAATCAACTAAGTTACTATAGTTTTAGTCGTAGGTTCTTTTTATAAAACGGACCCCTGCGAAATCACTTATATATATATTTTTTTAACATTACAGGAAGACGACGAATTTCAGGTCCTTGCAGACGACAGAAGATACGGATTAATCCGGTCCGATTCGGAGGCGGGGATCTCCGACTCCGGATCGGACTGGTCAGGCCCGGATGTCAACATGAAAGTACGTAACTTTAATCCACACTTTGTTATACTGTAGTTATGTCCCTCTACGGCGTCAACCAAAAGGTCAAATTGGAAAGAAATGACATTTGGCCTCTGTCTGTCACTAAGACCGCGGACATTTGGACGTGCTCCGATTAATCCACTGTGTCTATTCTTTTTTTCTTTCCGATATACATGCATGGGTAGCCCCATCTTGGGGCAATCATTATACAAGATGCACATAATTTTTCCAGTCAGATGACAAGGTTACAAACCAGAAAACTATAAAGGCTATTGTGAGGATTCTACGGGTCTTTCCCCTAAGATGGCGGCCAAGAATCATAATTTTTGAAAAGTGAAAAGTCAACTACATGTATCATAGTGAAAAAAAAAAGAATGAGAAAAAATCTTTAAATTTATAATTCAATGAAAATGGTACTTATTTAACACTTTACTGAAATTAATTTTACTTTGTACTACTTTTTTGAAGTGTGACTGTGTGACGCCATTGAAATATCTTCTCTGCTGTCACTGTTGCCGGAAGCGGAAGCGTGGAAAGGTACTTGATCTATAGAACTAAAAATGAATTGTTAAACAAATTATGAATTCACATTAACTGAAATTTGTTTTCCATCTGACTAGACTCCCACGTTGTCTGTTCAGTGGGTTGAGGATAAGGGAAACAGTTACACAGGTGGAGAAGTGAGGAATGACAATAAATTAGACGATGAAGCTCAACCAAAACGTTTAGGAGTAGGTGTTCATTTATTGACATTTGTTGACTTGTTTTCTTTTAATGTTGTTAAATTACAGATCATAATATTTGATTTTTGTTATATCCTTAAGCTCATTAACACTTCAATTTTAAAACTTTAAATTTTCATTTGACCTTTCAGAAAATGAAGAGATTCAGAAATTTCCTAAGGAATATATTTTGTTGTGGAAGGTATGTTGAAGGATACATTGTTCAAATGGTTATTTTATATTATAAATGAAACATGAAAATCTGCTCATTTACGACTGAAGTTAGATTAATTCCCCCTCCCTTTTCCAACATATAAATTACATGCATAAGGATTGTTAAAAAAAAATATTGAAATATTTTTTTCTGTTATTAAAAGCCTAAAGTTAAAAAAAACGGTCATAATTTTAGCAAAGTTTATGATTTAGGATAAAAACCTATTTTTAGCAAATAGGTCACAGTCAAGGTCTCAAGGTCATTGACCTTGGAGTCATTTGAAATAATTTAATTAGTGGAGTATGCATATCAAATATAAAGTATCTACCCATCATAGTTCAAAAGTTATGGTGAAGGTTTAAAAAAGCTATTTTTAGCATATATTTAGTCACAGTCAAGGTCACAAGGTCATTGGCCTTAATGTCATTTGAAAGAGCTTAATTAGTGGAGTATGCATACCAAATATTAAGTCTTTTTTCTTTCACGGTTCAAAAATTATGGCAAAGGTTAAAGTTTGCAGTTAAAAAGCGATTTTAACATACATGTCACCGTTAGGGTCACAAGGTCATTGACCTTGGTGTCATTTGAAAGAGTGGAGTATGCATACCAAACATGAAGTTTCCATCTTTCACGGTTCAAAACATATGGCTAATATTAAAATTTGCAGACAAACATACAGACAGAACAAAAACAATAAACGCCCCGGATCTATCGATTGGGGCGCATAAAAACCACGACAATCGTTGAAAAGACACTTAGTAACAAGTGCGCCTTACAATAAATTTGACTTGTCTTGTTGAAAACAATCACTTCCATCCACAACGTACAATCTTCGTTCTAACAGAGTTCATTACATTTTGAACCACGGGTCGTGTGTTCCATGCAAGGCATTGAAAGACGACGATTTATGTAGATATAATTCAGTCATAATTTCTTATTCTAAATATTATTGAGATATATGACGTCTGGTCTTAATTCATCAAAATGTTTAACTAACATTGCTTTCAATTGCAGGAAAAACAGTGAGGAATGAAGATCGTCTAGCCTGCTCATATTATTTATTCGTTTTTATAAAATAATGTGATTGTTTTTTCTTTCGTTTTGGAAACCAAGGAGAAGACAACGGAGCTATTTAATACCGTATTTTTTTAGATAAGCATTTTATTGGATCTTTTTTTTTTTTATTTGGACGTGTTTTTTTATTTTCTAGAATATTGGCTACAGAGCAGAAAAAAAGCTCTGTGGCCAAAATTGCTGACAAAATTCATACCATATTCTAAATTCTTCTTTGACTATAAATTATATATATTTTTAAAATCTGCTATTTAAAGTTCCGTTGTCTTCTCTTTACAAAATTCTTTAAACAATATTGTACAAGTTCAAGTTAAATATGTAATGAAATATGAAATTAAAAACTGAATTGCAAAAATAGACTTTTTGTTATGATTTCAGATACGTGTATGTACTTCGGAAACTACATTTTGTTTTGTTTGTATTTTTTTGGGGGGGGGGGGGGGGGGGGGGCTTGTTTGCTTTTTTTTTCTTTGTGAGATGGTGTTACCAGTTATACTAGTTTAAGAAAAAAGTAGGGGGTATTGGATCTACAAGGACAATGATATGCAGGTTATAAATTCAGAAAAACATTAAGGACACATTTGTCAATTTATTCGAAATCCTGTGTTCAGTCAGAAAAGGACAGTTTCTCAAGAATAAGGATAGAAACGAACACAGGGTCACACACCAAATGTACCCCCATTGTGAAACAAAATCGGGGTAAACCCTGACAAACTCCGAATCGGCGTGGCATACTCCTAACGAGACGGCCAAGGTCATTTTGGGGGAGTTTATTCCATTCCTGTTGCAATGTTGCAGCAAGTTCTTGGCCATTGTCCGATCTGAAATTGTCAAACATTACAAAATATAAAGATTCAAATCAACACCTTTTATTACTATTAGCTTTATACCCAATATAAAACAAAGAATCATTGAACAGTGCACTCAGAAGCAAGCATTTAAATTCATTCGATCGAACATCTCATTCTACTTGCAGCTGCTATAGATAAAGCCTGACACATTTCCCCTTCATTTACCTTTCACTAGTATCACTCCTTTTATCAAGTGAATAGTGAATTGAGTGAATAGTAAAATATATTTCACTTATTTCAGAATAGGAATTATTTAGGAACTATTTACTAATCAAGGGCCAATGGGGGCATTTACAATCATATCAGTATGATCACATTTATGTGACATGGAACAATACATGAATGAAATACTAGTATGGGGAGATAACTAACATTATTCGAGTTCAAAAGTCCATTAAACATAAGATATAGGAGTAGAGCAAACACGGACCTCCAAAACATGGGATCAGGTGTCATGGAGGACTAAGCATCTCCTGCCGACCGATCACACCCGCCCTGTGCTCCTTGTCATGATCGGGAAATAACGATGTTGGACCGCTGATTGAGATGTTGAACCAGTCGATGAGGTGTTGGACCGCTTGTCACAGAATGGGCGGAGCTTAATCTCATTTTCATTCGTTGGTGTTCAAAAGTGACGGACCTGATGTTACATCACGAAAGAGAGTACAAAATACATGTATGAAAAAAATTAAAATGAAAGGTATAACAAAACATTTATTGACTGTGTTTTCGTGCAAAATGCGTTTTGTCCACCCACTAACCGAACTGTCTGCCTTCGGCTTAACGGTCTCAGACAGACAGTTTGGTTCTTGGGTCCGTCAAAACGCATGTTACCCTCGAACTGGGTAAATAAATGTATAATGTTACTGCAATTAAATATCTTCATTGTTACTGACTATGTAAGGTGTTTAATTGCTAGGTTAGTCTGTCTAACGGCCCTTCGATATCGTTTCACCCATCCGGAGAGGCCCAACATGTTCAAGGCACCACAATTTTAGTAGTTTTTGATATTTACAAATTTCAATCTGACTTAATTGCATCATCTCATTTTAACCTACGTGTTTTTTTAAAAGTACATGTACTGAGTTAATCAACCCCCTCCCTTCCAGTAAAACACAAAACCAAGCAACTTTTGATTTCAGCAAATCCTTGACATTTAACATATCATTTTTGAAATTAAAGGAAAGAAAACACAGACTTTGCATTTAGAAAGCAACAGAAATTTCCAAGTCAGGGTTTTTTTTTTGTTTTGTTTTTTTGCAGGAAAATCTCTAGCAAAAATTAATAAATTATTTTTATCTTCTTTACTTTTATTCTGAAACTGACTTAATACATGTACTCCCCATTAACTTAAGATGCAGATTATATTCTACTGAGTTTATGATAAACCATGGACATCCTGTATACAGGGTTATTTTCGCCCCGTGTTATTTTCGCCCTTTAACATCAGCAAACAGTTTTGCCCAGTTTTAAATTCACCCAGTCGTATTTTAGTTTAAGATATTATACTGTATTGTATTCTTTGAATTCGCACTGTTTTAAATTCGCCCAAATAAGGACAGGGCGAAAGGGGTGAAAATGAAACGGGGGCGAAAATTTCCCTGTGTGCAGTAACATCCTATACTTTTGTAAAGTTTATATTTCTCCAAGTTCATTGATAACTTGATACTACTTGTTAAAAATATAAGTCAAGATAAGCATGTTTCATAAATGAAATGGTTGTTTTACATACTTATACTTAAGGTATAAAATTGTAAGCTTCATGTATAAAAACATTAACAACATTTACTGTAATTCCCAAATTGAAAGGTAGTAGTATGTTAGCCCTCGATTCCTGCAGACTATTATGTTTACAAACATATCATACAACATTGATTAGCTAATACATGTAAAAGATTGTTTGAATTAAAAAAAATGTTCATTTGTCATCAATTAATAATTAAAATATCAGAGCTCTTTTTATTATGAACATAAAAAATATCTCTTGAAATAACTTGAAATATTAAATCGTCATGGATAAATTAACCTTAATTCTTTCTGTGTGTTTAACACAAATAAAAAATAAACATACGTACTTTGAAGGCTATGTACATCATACCATTGACACGAATAACATTTATCCCTCACTCCATAGAAAAGCTGTTAAGGTGTAAGACTAGGCTTCATTCTGTTCTTCGTTTTAACCTTTCACACAAAACCTAGTTTAATCGTATGTAGTTGATGCATACTAGTATGTATTTTCATACACAATTTACAGAAAACTATTCAACTTGGACCAAAACAAGTGAAATATTATAACACGTTTGACATTTGTAAGTACTTCGGCCAAACACTAAATAGATGTTAAGTTTTAATTAATTTAAAGTTTATAGGCTACTAATTTATGGCATGTCAAACGTTGCAATATTCGATAATCTTGTGATGTATATTCAAAATCTTGTGATGTATGTTCGAAATCTTGTGATGTATATTCAAAATCTTGTGATGTATGTTCGAAATCTTGTGATGTATATTCAAAATCTTGTGATGTATATTCAAAATCTTGTGATGTATGTTCGAAATCTTGTGATGTATATTCAAAATCTTGTGATGTATGTTTAAAATCTTGTGATGTATATTCAATATCTTGTGATGTATATTCTTAAACTTGTGATTTATATTCTATAATCTTGTGATGTATGTTCGAAATCTTGTGATGTATGTTTGATAATCTTGTGATGTATATTCGAAATCTTGTGATGTATGTTCGATATCTTG